AAAGATTAAGGGCATTATGAATACAATGCAAGATCGAAAAGCTGAGGTTGGAGTTCACAACAAAGAAAGAAGTTGATGCATGCCTTGTGGAATTTGATAAACAACTTTCCATTCGAAGGCAAACCTCACACCTTGGGTGTGAGAAATATTTGATGTTTGCCCCACGATATAAAAACAGACGAGGAAGGAAGGCCAGTTGAAGAATTTCTTTACAAAAATCGCTAGGGTGTATTCAAATTCAAATAACATCTCTGTTTGTTAGAATATCATATCCATGAAGAATGAAAAATAGAATGTTATGTTTAAATAAGATTTTATTTAGAAAATTAATTAGTCGTTTAAATTGGGAAAACATGAATTAATTTTCTATATTACGTTATATACATATCCATGAACGTCCTTTTGTGTTCTTCAAGATTTTATCATTGTAATTTATGTGGTTTTCCACGAAAGCACAATTTCATCTTGATAACTTTTAACAAATACACAAGTTTTTTTTTTATTATTTAGCCAAATATTCAGGTCGTACCTATATATATATATATTAGCTTTTACCTATATAATATCTAATCAATATTGATATCAAGAAAAAAATTAAATAAATAACCATACATATGTCAACATTAGAAAAATAATTTTCATTTGAACATGTTTCTAATTTTTAAGACTTCAAAAGTTTTACAAAAACACCAATTATTGGATATATTCTCCTCTTTTCCGAGAGATAATGGAAAAGAAAACAGAAGACATATATATATATAATGAAAAACTATCTTCTACAATTAGAAAAAGTCCTTAAATTCCGACAAGACATTATCTTTATTAATTTTTTAAATAAAATAGAATCCATGATCAAATACGGATGGGGATTTCATTGAAAACTCTGAAACTTGGCAGATAGATACAAAAATTTTACTTAAAAATCAAGACTTCATATATTGCTGGGGGACATTGCTTAGGTTATTTGCCCAAAATTCTGAATAAAAACATATTAAACAAACTCACCAAAGCCAATAAATTTACATTTTGGCTTTCCTTTTGACTCTTCCTGTGGAGATGCCAAGAGGACACTATGAATTATGCTAAAGGTGCCTTTAAAAAAACGAGCAAGCTTTTTTTTGAAGTTATGGGTTCGCATTCTTTTTCCTCAAAAGGAAGCACCAACGGCTAACAAGATCATGGTCCTTTTTTATTTATTTTATTTATTTATTTCAAATTTAATTATGTTCCTTTTCATGGACTTCGTTTTCAAATATTTTATTCTCTTCCTCTTCTTGCAATCACCAGCATTATTCAGCATATCCGCTTCCCGTCATTGCATAGGTCATTCTATGAAATCGTAAGCAGTATTCGTCTATGACATTAATTTAATTTGTCACGTTATACCAATTACATGGCCATATGTTGGAGCCATGTCCATTTTTATTTTGGCCCACAGCTCAATAATGGCTGTGGGTGCATTGAATGGATGATGGGCTCTCTGGTAGAATACATTGAAAGAGGTAAAGATCATCCCCATCCCACTTTAGCAGGGAAGCCAGCTTTATTTGCAATGACGTATGTCGTATATTGTGGATTTATCTAGATTAAAATTTTCCAACATCACGCAACCTTTAGCTCCAGGAGAAAAGGAAAAATTGTTTGTGATTTAATTGATTGAAATTAAAAATAAAATTAAATAAAAAATAATGCTCCTTTTATCTATTTTTTTTTTTTTAAAAATAAACAAGGTGCATCTGGCTTTCTTCCATCCTTGAATAAACAATGCCATGCTGTGAGCTTAACTTCTTCTTCTTCTTTTTAATTTTCATAATTTTTTAATTAATACTCTCTCTTTTATATTTTAAATTATTAGGTTTAATTATTCTAAAAAAAAATTATTATTAATCTTTTGAATTATTTTTATAATTTCATAATATTTTAAAAAGGTTATTATAAATTATCTTTAAATTTTTTTCCTCTTAAATTTTAGAAAGAGAAGTTGCATCTGCAAAATAAGATAAGTTATTAAGAAAAATAAAAATAAAAAAGATAGATGAAGTAAATTATTTCCAAGTGTATTTATCTTGTGTCTTTTGAAAGGGAGATCAATTTCATGTTATCATACTTAATTAGTGTTAACAACAACTTTTTAATATATCAATTTATATATTTTTAATTTTTTTTTATCAAAAAGAAACATTATCTTTTTGTTTCTCAATGAGCAAAATTCTATTATATAAAAAAACACATCCAAAATGCAGAAATATTTTTCTCTTACGTTATTAAATAACTTGAAATCATGCGTTGACTATTGTTATACTATTTATGAATATTGATTAAATTTTCAATTTCATGCTAACATTTTTTTTTTGTGCGGTGTCGTTTTGCTATTCAAATTTTTTTTTCTTAGTCACAAAGTTGTCATTTGTCACTTAAGAATACAAATAATAAATGAAAACGAAAAAAAGAAAAGAAAAGAGGAGGTGGTATGCTTCCTGGTGACCCCCCTCCCCCTCCCCCAGGTAACCCTCCCCCCATAGACATAAATCTAATAGCCAGTTAATAGAATTATTAAATCTCTCTTAAATTATTGACATTATTGTTGAAGTCCTAGAAAGAGAAAGAAGAAGAAAAGGTAAAAAACAAAAGCAGAGGGAAAGTCAAGTGCAATGCAAACGAGTGCAGATGCATCTAAACTCTAAAGAGACACAGTGAGAATCTTCCATAGTCCAATGAAACTTCACCAAAGTTGTTCCTTTTTTTTTTTGTGTCAATGCGCCACTTATACCAAGAGTGACCCAACCAACGGTTCTGATTAATGGGG